CTTGCGGTTCCGCCTTTAGAAGGTTGGCATGTCCTATCATTGACCTCGTCATTGAGAAGTGGGCCGATAACCTATGCGAGTGTTAGCCTGGCACTTCGGGGGTAACACGACATACTCTCGCGCTAGGACTTCGAGAGCTGGCTTAGAGAAGACTGCCGCATGGGTGCGGACCTCTGATAGCCCTTTTTAGAGTCAATCTGCCTTAGTATCGCATGTGGTACTGTCATCGCTCAATGAGGTTGAACTAATATTAATATTGTTCCTCTTGAATGAAGTATGGGCTCACAACATTCTCGCATACCGCACTCTCGCAGGCAGGCTGCCAGTGCCCACAGTAGACTATATGTAGAGGAGCAGTCAATAAATACACATTATATTATATTTATAATGCTCGCCTTCAGACTGTGCTCAATACAAGTTAGGATCATGACTACCATTACTCCCAGTAAGTCTCAGGGCATAGGCGCTTGATACAGTGCGCCGGGCTTGGGGGTTCAAAGAGGCTGCCCGAGGACGATGCACAGGTGGTGCGATGCACTCTTCAGCCCAATAAAGGTCAAGTCTGTTAGCAAGACTATGAATGTACAACACTAAGACCTTTTACAAACAACAAGAGGAAACTGTATGTTTACTGTGTATAAACGTTTACACCAAGTTTACATGACTTCATTTACACACACGGAAACAGTAAACAGTAATAAACGTTTATACACAGTAAACAAACAAAACGGTTGGAGCCTTAGCCGACGTTTATTTTAGTTTTTATTCTATCTAGATTTTTTGAATTTATCAGAGCTGTCACGGCCCCAATGTCTTCTTTTTCCAGCTATAGGAGGGGTTTTTACTCCATTTTATGAGCCAAAGACCACGGAAATACTTGTTCCACTTCGACTAGGTATTATTGTGGTAGGCGCCCACCTCAATGCTCTTAGTATCGTGATCTACGCTCTGGTGGACATACCCGAAGGCGTTGAACATCGGGATCCTCTCCACTTAACCTGAAAGCCTGCATTTCTAGCCTGTTTTCTTTGCTGCGTAGCATGATATCATCAGCATCTACATGCTAAGCCCGAACGTTCTTGCGTGCCATGAGATGCCGATGGCGCATCATCAGGAGACGGAAGGGCGACCCGGATGATGCCCTCCCATTCTCACGTTCCGCCAGGTCTCGTTACCGGATGAGGCTTATAAATACGGAATGCAGTCGATATCTTCCCGCCCGTAGAGCCCCCACAGTGTACGTTCAACAACAAGTGCAGGCAGCCACTAGTCACTAGTCATGTCTCGCCCTGAGCAGAAATCCGCGTTAAACATCGTTATGGTAGAGTTTATGATGTGGATGTTAAACTTTTGCTCACACCGCGCGATAGGGATGCATGACGTTTGGTAGAGAAGGCACTGAGGGTAAGTCGTTTCCGGCTTGACGTCGACTAGTCTCATCGCCTGCGAAGGAGCTCGAGTCCATACTGTTGAAGAGGTCGGCAAAATCTTGGATGTCTTTCAAGCCCATGGACACTACGAGGTGCGTGACGATGCCTGAGCGCCGCTTGCTGTGTTACTCACGCTGAATATAGCTCGACTCCGCACGGACTTACGCCGGAACCACCAGTGAAGAGATTGTGGGGGAGGTTGGATGGCAGAAACGGGGGCTTGTGATGGATACTAAGCTCTACCCGAATGCCGTACGTGTCTGCTATGACTGCACAAAGGGTCCCGAATCCTTATTATGCTCGCGATAGTCGACCACGCGCCAGACCCTGCCCAACGCGAGCCGCATCTCGCACAGCCCAGAAGTACGCCTCATGAGAAGGATAGTAAAAAACGCAGGCTAAATATTTCCGTACAGGACCTTCGCAAGTACCTAGACAGCTCGCTCAAGGCCCTCAGGACAGAGTAAGTCCTCTTCGCGGTTCACACGTTCACCGCTAGTCCCTCTAACAGCCTATCCATTCACCCTAAGCTCCATCGACATGTGGTACCTGCACGGCCCGGACCGCACCATTCCGTACGAAGTAACCATGAAGGCTGTCAATGAACTTCACCGAGAGGGAAAGTTCAAGCGTTTCGGCATCAGCAACTTCATGTCCTGGGAAGTCGCCGAAATTGTGGCTATCTGCAAGGCGAACAACTACATCCAGCCGACCGCGTACCAGGGCATCTATAATGCGATCCATCGCAAGGTCGAGCCCGAGCTCTTCCCATGCCTGCGCAAGTATGGCATTGCTTTCTACGAGTTCAACCCGCTCGGTGGCGGCTTCTTCACAGGCCGGTACCGCTCGATCCAAGATGAGGTCGAGCCTGGTTCGCGCTTTGACCCGAATAGGGGCCAAGGCAGGGTGCGGTTAGCTCATTAATCGCAGTAGAACTAAACTTGATATGATGGTGCAGAATTACCGCGGCAGGTACTGGAATGACACGTACTTCCAGGCGCTCTCTCTCATCGAAGAGATCGCGAAGAAGCACAACCTGACGCTCGCTGAGGTTGCCCTTCGCTGGGTTTCGCACCACAGTCTCATGAAGCGCGAGCACGGAGACGCGATCATCATTGGTGCTTCGAGTCTCAATCACATCGAGCAGGTACGTTCACTACTCGGTGCAGTTCTAGAGTTGCGCTGACGCTGCTGAGCGCAGAACCTCATCGACCTCGAAAAGGGCTCCCTGCGTAAGTCGTGCCGCTTGGTCAACTTATCTCGTGTTAACACGTATTTTAGCTGAAGAGGTGCTGAAAGTGCTGGATCAGGCTTGGGAAGTCGTCAAACCCGTCGCGACGAACTACTTCCACTAAGTCACATACTCAACTCGCCGCTGTCTTATCTGAGACGAATGAGCGAGGCTGTACAATGTATATTCGAGGATACAATAACACAACTGAACGGCAGTCTATAGCCAAGCCATCACGGTCCTGACTCACTGGTCTCAAGCGGGACCTCAGCGCGCGGGTCCCCATACTTTAGGCGCCCAAGCCTTTGTATTGTGCGACCACCGCATCTCCCGTCTCTGCCGGTAGCAGCGGTTAGCACGTTGAGCTAGTGCATGCTGTTATGCGTGGTACTTTCCCGTCACAGTTAGGCTTAAGCATGCACGATCTTCGACGTCTTTCGGGCGCATAGACACAAGCAAACAGCTTTTCGGCGTGGTCAGCTTGAAGGAGTGCGTACATGCTATGGCCTCTCGTTCTACGCGAGCAACCCGCTCGGTGGCGACTTCTTCCCTCGGCGGTACAGCCTACAAATCGAGTGCTCTTTGACGCCATAGCGCTCCTAACAAGTTAAAGTAACATTCTCTCCATGCCGCATAAATATGATTTCTGAAAGCTTTTAGCAATAGACCACGCGGTGTCGTTCTCGGAACGAGGAGCACTCTGGCGAAGATAGAAGGGGCCGCGAAGAGCTATAATCTGACGCTGTTTGAAGTTACTCTTCGCTGGTTGTCGCATCGCAACTTTATTAAACGCGAACATGGCGATGCAGTTATCTCCGGGTCGTCGAGCGTAAAGCACGTTAAGTAAGTTAATCCGCCCTTCTCCGTGGCATTTGATATCGCGCTCACGTGGCATGAATGAGTAGAAATTGGCTGGCCTGGAGAAAGGCCCGTCGCATGAGTGTCAAATGTACATGACTCAAAAAGTCGGCTCTAACACATCAGGAAACACTACCATGCTACCCGATGCTACCCAACGCTTCGGAGCACTACCTAGCTCGGGTAGCGTCGGGTAGCATGGTTATTGTTTCCTAATGCCGCAGCTTGAAGAAGCTGTCAACATTCCCGACTAGGCGTAGTCCTCAGTCAAGGGCACTGCGAATAGCTATTTCTATTGAAACGGAAACATGCTAGGGGTGCCTGGAGCATATCTATGAGAACTGTTGTAATACCGGCGCCGCAGTCGCATTCAAGTTATCACTGCCTTTTGCGTATGCTAGAAGCGGCGATCGCATAGGTGTGCTCCGTACATGATGAGGGCTTACGGTAGTGGGCTGAGAACTGCGTGTAAAACATCTATTTTTCTTTTCTTTTGTGGCTGTCGCATAGCCACAGGCCCATGACCGTATAGATCAGGACCTGCTAGCTGCATCCGCGGTCTTTGTTTTGCTCTGTTTGGATCTTCGAGCCATAAGCGCCTTAGCCCGCATTGGACTCCTTCGAGTCAGCCTGCTGTATCTTGTTCTCTGCTTCAATATCGACAGTACTAGTTCACCCTCGCGCTATTTAGTTTTCTGTTGCTCATTCTAACTTCCTTATCTCTGCATTTCCCACTCGGCTCGTACCGCTGGGAGCGCGAACCGCCAAATCGTAGGGGAAACTTGAAGCCGAAGGCTTATTTACGCATAAACGGTCGCTTAAGGTACGCAAACACGAAATACGCCCCTCTGACTTAACCATTCCTCGTCAGCTTTGATCCGAGTCCTGCCAATTTTTTTCTTCTTTCTGCTCTTGAAAAGAGATTTAGGGAAGCACTACGCGGGAGTGTCAGCTTGAAGCCTCGAGTAGAACTTGTTTGGCCAGGGGAGCCCATCAATCAAGCGGTGCTCTTTATTCCCTTCTCAAGGTACCAAAATGCGCAGTCCGGGGCGGCAGATGCAGAGCACTCAGATGTCAAGTTGAAGATTCCATCTCACGAGGCGACCCTACGGACATGGAATGGTTGGGGTGAGTTTGTGCAGCCTTAAATATTCAAGCCCCGGTCGTGTGGCGCTCGTTACAGCACTCGGAAACGAGGAAGACTGGTACTCATCCCTCAGTAGCTACGCGCTTTGGTTGTCGCCAGCTGTTGTTCCACGAGCATGCGGAAACCACGCGCCTGGCACGCTGAACGGCGGTTCGCGGGAGCAGGTGGCCCTGAGTCAAGGCGGCTAGGACCATATTCCACCAGGAGCGCTGTAAGGACGACCCTGCGGTGTACGCTCGGGGCGCTCACCCCATGGTAGTCGCAGCTAGGTGTTGGTCGGCTGGGATGCGAAACCCTTGGCTAGGCAGTCTATTGGGTAGCGGCGGTAAACTCGAGTGAGCGAAACTACAGCAATGCTTCTGAGAACATATTGTCTGACAGGATTGGTGTCATCCCAGGCTTTGTGCAAATGCGTTTTTAGAAACCTGGTCATGCAAAGAGAACACGTGGACGGCGCAGGATGCCGGGTTTGCTGTCTTGTTCTCTTCTCAACATTCAGACGACCCGTCATCCGAAAGCCGGCATGAGACCGAATCTTGTTCAGTTGCCTCTCCGTAATACCACGCTTACGGAGAAAGCGCCTGCCTCGGGAAAGTTACCCGGGGAGCTTAAAGTTATGAACACCGGTCGGGGACCTACGGTGAGTAAATAGTTCGGAGACTCTCGATTACGCTGACCGGACCTGTCAGCGTTCGATCCAGTCGGCATTTTGTAAGTATCGCCGCAGGAGACGCGAGGGCGCTCGGCCACGCTTTTCCCGAAGAGCCAGTGTACCAGCGACGGCCCCAAGCAGGCATTTCTATTATTTACATACATGGGGTCTCAGCGGCCGCTTTGTTCTCAGAGAATTCGGGCGAAGCGGGTGGTGTACCAATCACACGATGATTCAGCCATCTTGGCGAATATGCACCCTCCTAGGCTCTAACCACGCAGTGGCGGTTCTGAAGGCAGTAAAACACCTGCGTTTTATGTGGAAGCGCACCTACAACGCGAGTTTAAGCCCGAATTTACAGTGGATGTCCAGTAAGATGTTAAGCAAGTCTCTTGTCAATCATCTCATAATTGTGGTTATAGACCCACGACCCCGGACCAATCTTTCTCTCGGCAAATAGCACGTGAGAAACTTGAGGTGAACCTTAGGGACGCCCACTAATGGGTTACATTCGGTCACTCGGGCACTCTGTCGCTCGGGCATTATTGGGCATAGACAAGTCCCTCTCGACATTACCAAGCCCTGGCTCTATGGCGTATATATACTGGCCTCTATCTCGCTGACACCCATCATCTTCAATAACCAGTATCGAAAAAGAGCAGGAGACTTACAGGAATCAATATGTCCCACGCAGAGCAGAAGAACGCTTTGAACGTTGTCATGGTCGGTCTGCTTACAGCCCACTTCCTACTCCCCGGGGTCGCACGTACTAACAGAGTTCTAGGGTGCCGGAAACTTCGGCGCACCTGGCATCGAGAGTGCGTGCTCTTTGTATTCACCTTGGCCGCGCTCAGCTAACGTTGCCTCACAGGTGCGCGCGTGACCAGCGTGAAGGACGTCGAAGCCATCCTCGATGTCTTGAAGGCGCACGGCCACAACGAGCTAGATACCGCCACCATGTACGGTCAGGGCACGAGTGAGAAGCTATTGGGGGAAACAGACTGGAAGAAGCGTGGAACTGTCGTTTCCACGAAGCTTCTGCCAGTCGGGGTAAGCCTAGCAGAGCCCTGCATGTACTGAATACGAGCTGACGGCGCCGCTGTCAGACTAACGGACGTGCCATTCCTGGCTTGCCGACCATTACTCACAGGGAAGAGGTGCGTGTTGCAAAGCTGATGTGCGTGGCAGCTGCTAAGTGCGGCTGTAGGACCTGCGCAAGTATTTGGATACATCTTTGAAGGCTCTCAAGACAGAGTGAGTAAAGCACGATTGCGTTCGGTAGGCCGTATGTCTAATTTTGAAACAGCACTCTCGATGTTTGGTATCTTCACGGCCCCGACCGTTCAACTCCCTACGAGGTGACGATGAAGGCCGTGGACAGGCTCTATAGGGAGGGCAAGTTCAAACGCTTCGGCATCAGCAACTACATGTCTTGGGAAGTTGCGCAGATCGTCGAGATCTGCAAGGCGAACGGGTACGTCAAGCCGACAGTGTACCAGGGACTCTACAACGCAATGAACCGCAACGTCGAGCCGGAGCTGTTCCCGTGCCTGCGCAAATACGGCATCTCGTTCTACGCGTTTAACCCCCTCGGCGGCAGCTTCTTCACAGGTCGTTACCGCTCTTTGAACGATCAGGCCGAAGCTAACTCGCGCTTCGATCCGAACACGTTCCTCGGCAGGGTGCGTTTACTCATCTTGCATATCATCGCAGCTTCTGAACGTTGCATTTTGGCAGGATTCACACCGCCGTTACTGGAACGATGCCTACTTCAACGCGCTGACGAAGATTGAAGAGGTTGCGAAGAAACACAACTTGACGCTCGCCGAAGTCACCCTCCGTTGGCTGTCACATCACAGCCTGCTGAAGCGCGAGCACGGTGATGCGATCATGATCGGTGGCTCGGGCGTGGAGCAGGTCGAGGAGGTCAGTCTGTTTCGTGTTGGCGCGCTGGGAGTCTAGCTCATGTGGACTGGACGCGCAGAACCTCACTAACCTCGAGAAAGGCCCTTTGCGTAAGTGGAGTGCATATGCCACTTGTATAGCGCATGCTGACAATTGCATTTAGCCGAGGATGTTGTTAAGACTTTGGACGAGGTTTGGCTCTCGGTGAAGGCTATTGCGGCGAACTACTTTCACTGAGCATTGATATTTTGCCTTGCCGCCGCCCTCGCTACGTGGCGCGACACGGCCGGACAGATTGAGACATATGAAGCACTGACTGTTCAGTACGAAATCCATGACATTGACAGTAGCTGACCTTGTATGATCATGCTTTTCCATTTCTTCGGCGAGATGAATTGCAGCGAGGTGAATTCGAACGTAGTTAATATTCTGCCCGGTAGTTTTTATCTTGCCTTGTTTGTGATGACGTGGCCTGCGCTCGAGGTCGAGAGGATCTACCAGCTGCCTGGCGCATCTCCTGGCCTTCTACGAAGTTCAGCGACACTCTCGTCTCACAAAGCTATGATTTCATCATGAAAGGACGAATATCTGCTAGGCCATTCTTCCGATTGCTGCAATTTTTAAGCAACGGCCGAAGCACAAGTTTCTCGCGCCCTCCCATGTCTGCAGTTAACGCAGCCGCTGAAGGGGTTGCGTCACTCCCTACCGTGCCGAACGACATGAATCCATCGACGATGGCGTTTGAGTGGCTGGAAGCTCCTGGAGTTAACTCCGTTCATTTAGGAATCTGGACGGTTCTCCTGGAGCGCGAAGTCATGGCAGCTGTCAAGACCACAGGCAGTGGTGGGCACAACATCGACTGGAAGGGTATAGTGCGGACAAGGGAAACGGTGGAAATACCGTACAACGTGAGCTGCAGTTTGTAACTTGAAGTGCCACTGTCTTGTGTGGACTTGCCCATATACTCAAGAAATATTACGCAGCTCAATTTTTAAACGTCGGGAGAGTAATTTATGGCACTCGGGGTGCGGCGAGGACCCATCAAATTAAGATCAAGTGTTCAGAGAAGCTGTGTGGTTCTAAAAAGTTGCAGCTACAGTAGCTTTTATTGATGCAACAACTGGCGTGGCCCCTCTATGACTCATTAAGTGTTGTGCCGCATGCCCGGCTTGGAGCTCACGGCTTACCGGGGCCAGAGCCCTAGTCTGCGTCAAGCCGATGAATACGTGTTAGCAACTCGCGGACGGACTACTATGCCCATTGTCTGCACGGTAAACCTGCAAATCTGAAGGGGATCAGTGGTGTTGTTGGTTTGCTATCATCGACCTGGGAGGACCATGTCTGGAAAGGAGAAAGTTAAGGATCTCGACTGATGTCAAGCAGCTGGTCACGATCTCCGAGCGATCGTAAATAGTCAGCTTTGTCATATCAGTGACAGTACAGCAACTCCGGAGTTTTATATCGCGGCCAGACTGAGATAGTATAAAAAAAGACGACATTAGCCCACCGCGAGGGTCAAACTCGCAGCCTTCAGATGACGCTTGATCGCGTACTTTCACTAAGGCTCCAACCGTTTTGTTTGTTTACTGTGTATAAACGTTTATTACTGTTTACTGTTTCCGTGTGTGTAAATGAAGTCATGTAAACTTGGTGTAAACGTTTATACACAGTAAACATACAGTTTCCTCTTGTTGTTTGTAAAAGGTCTTAGTGTTGTACATTCATAGTCTTGCTAACAGACTTGACCTTTATTGGGCTGAAGAGTGCATCGCACCACCTGTGCATCGTCCTCGGGCAGCCTCTTTGAACCCCCAAGCCCGGCGCACTGTATCAAGCGCCTATGCCCTGAGACTTACTGGGAGTAATGGTAGTCATGATCCTAACTTGTATTGAGCACAGTCTGAAGGCGAGCATTATAAATATAATATAATGTGTATTTATTGACTGCTCCTCTACATATAGTCTACTGTGGGCACTGGCAGCCTGCCTGCGAGAGTGCGGTATGCGAGAATGTTGTGAGCCCATACTTCATTCAAGAGGAACAATATTAATATTAGTTCAACCTCATTGAGCGATGACAGTACCACATGCGATACTAAGGCAGATTGACTCTAAAAAGGGCTATCAGAGGTCCGCACCCATGCGGCAGTCTTCTCTAAGCCAGCTCTCGAAGTCCTAGCGCGAGAGTATGTCGTGTTACCCCCGAAGTGCCAGGCTAACACTCGCATAGGTTATCGGCCCACTTCTCAATGACGAGGTCAATGATAGGACATGCCAACCCTTCTAAAGGCGGAAC